CCCCAAAACCCCAAAACCCCAAAACCCCAATTGCTCAATTTTATATTGAAATAAATAATCAAAGGTAAAGAGAGAGTCAATATGGATCTGATTATTTTCTATTCTCATTTAATTGCTTTATGATTCAAGGGAGGTTCAATGAAATTCTTAATAACCGCCTTTAGACCATGAGCAGACACGAGAAACTCAGATCAGTGCAGAGCTTGAAGAGAAAGGGTTTACCAAATGAGTAAAAATTATCTAAATTACCTATCTTTTTGCTCATTTAACTGACCTTAACGACTTAATGCTGTTCAAATATTTTTCTCAGAAGAAGCTAGCATTTAAATTAGAACTTAAATATATACAAGACCATTTTGTAGAGAGAATAGATAGATTAACTTAAAATTTAGAGAGAATAAAAGCAAAAATTATTTCTTTAACCACTTTTATTTCATTTTTTAAAGATAAAGTTGGATCATCTAAGCTTCTATCTAGAAATAAACATGCCTTAGTATCAAGCCTGAGAAGGAGATTTAAACGTAAGTATTTTTGAGAAGCATTGTGAATCTGAAAGACTCAAGAAATTTTCGAAGCACTGCACAGAGCTCTTTTACTATAATTTTTGAAGACAATTGTATCAGACTATAAAATCTTGCTGTTGCAAGTGCATTTACAGATAGAGATTGTTTTTATTCTATTGAATTAATATGAAACTTCTGAAAAGTATTTCAGAAAGTTAAGAATTATCATGATTTTGAAACTGTAAATCATAGTAAAAAGACATTCATCAATCATCTAATTTTCCATCCTATTTTTATGCACATCTAACAATTATAGATGCAAACAAGAGTTTGAAAGTGAGCATAGTTGAGGTCCCAGTGAATAAATAAGCAATCTGACAAAGCTATCGCTTCTGCAGCAAGTAAGGATTTGTTCATCTATTTTTAAGCCTTGTTCATTAAGTTGATTTATCGTTTTAAAATGCACCTAAAATAAGTGAATGGCCTGGTTTGTTTTTATCATAGGAAAAAAGAAATTTTGAATTTTTTCAAGAAGTTATATTCGCTTAATTTTAGTATCTAGGTTTTAATGAGATTCATGAAGTTATTAAAAAGTGTTTTAGAGTTCTGGAAATTTTAATTCGTTAGAATTTGAGTGCTTTTGTAATATTTCTGAAGTTTATATTAATTTGTTAATATTAGTTCTGTGGCTTTTTCTAAATTGTTCTAAGATAAACACCAAATTTGGCTGAGGCAAGCAGATTTGGAGTATTAAGTAGTTTTAATATGATAAATCTGGAACCAACTTTAAATTCAATATTTTGATCAGCTCCAATTTTATGAATCTCATTTATAGCAATAAGAAACAATAGAAGAAGTGGAAAACGAAACTTTGAAAGTTTCCTTGGGGCCTTTTGTAGGACATTTTACTCATAAATAGCAAAGTTTATTGATAGAACCCAAGGAAATATGACACCAAGAAATCAGAAACCACAGAAAGCTCAGCTTGAATTAGTTGAGAAGAAAAAGAAAAATAGGGAGAAAAATGATTTCTTTTTTAAAACTAAATAAAACTGATCCAGAATTATTGAGAAAGATGGAGTATTTCTATGCTCCTTATGAGCCTAAAAGACACAGAAAATTTGCCCAACAAAAGTCAATGAGAAATAGAGAAGAATTTTTGGGTAATAAGCACAATAGATCACTTAAAAGAAGGAAAAAGTGTGCAAAGGATAAGTTTTCAGTAAGTTCTTTCTCAACACTAGGCTACCACAAATACTCCCAAATCAACCTTGCACAATCAGAGCCGTAGATCTGTATAGCTCCTTTAACCCATAGCCTCACAACTCCGATATTGATACCCCACACCATCTCACTCAACCTCTCCCTAACCCTTCCCTCAAAAGTACCCACAGAGTAATTCTTCGCATGACCTCTTCTCTAGCCTACAAATTCAAAAAGCAGTCCTTGCTCATAATCTTTAGAAAAATTCATATCAAGTTCTTTCTCAAATCTCTTCAAAGGAATTAAGAAAAGATTCAAAGTGTAAACTTACCTTAATTATCCAAATAGATCCAGACTAACTCAAAAAGACCAAACATTAGGAAGAACCCACATAAAATTACAGAAGAGATTGACAGGCCAGAGCACAGAATTTATATGGGTAAAACGAGGGATTAGAAACAGAAGCAGGAAGAGAAGTAGAGGAGACAGGGAGAGGAAGTTATTGGGTAATGGGAAGAGAGTAGGGGAAGAGAGGAGTATGGAAGAGGTTGACGAAGGGAGTAAAGAAGAAAATTTGGGGGAGAGAGAAGGAGGGGTGAAGGAGAGGATGCTGATAGGGAAGTTTAGTAGGAGGAGGACTGTTAATACAGCTGGGTATAAGAGGAGGTCAATTTGTGATGAAGTTTTAGCTGATAAGAGCAAGTTTTCTTATAAAAGAGCTAATAATTGTAGGGATGAGTGTTAAATTATAGTTGGTTCAAACCGGAGTACATGAAGTAGAAGTTTGAGGATGAATTCTACTCATAAATCCTCTTTAAAGAGTTTAAATAAAACTGCTAAAATTGAGCAGAAGAGAAATGGCTCTAAGAATAAATCTCAGAAAGCCAAGAAATCTAAGAATAACGAATGTCACTATATTTCTTTATCAAAGAGGATGGCTAGAAGAAGAAAGACCATTTTTAACCAAGTACAGGAAAGAAGCTTGCTAAAGAATTCAATGTAATAGTAAAAAGTTGGGGTTTTGGGGTTTTGGGGTTTTGGGGTTTTGGGG